GCAAAAGTAGTGGTTAGAGGGAAAGCATGGCATTGAAGGTTAAAAAAAAAAAAAACTAACTAAAATCAATTTTCTAAGCTTCTACCTTAGGAAACTAGAGGAAAAAGAGCAAGGAGAAGAAAAAAGAAAGAATAAAATACAAGCAAAAAGCAACAGAATTGAAACAGGAAACAGGAAAGCAGGAAAAAAAAGAAAAATCAATGAAACCAAAAGCTGGTTCTTTGAAAAGATTAACTGATGAACCTATAGCCAGGCTAACAAAGAAGAAAATAAGGCACAAACTCCTAATAATATAAAAAAGTGAAAGAGTCATCCTTATGGATCCCACGGACATTAAAAAGATAATAAAAGATTATAAACAATTCCATGCCCTCAAATTTGATAACTTACATAATTCCACCAATTCCTTGAAAGATACAAATGACAAAAACTCTCACAAAAAAATTAAACAGAGATCTAAATAGGCTTATATCTACTAAAGAAATCAATAGTTAACAACCTTCTCAAAAGCTAGCACTAGGTCCAGATGGTTTCAATGGTGAATTTATGGGAAAAATCCTACCAATATTCCACAAACTCTTCCAGAAAAAAATAGAAGCAGAGAGTGCACTTCCTAACTATATGCCAAGCATTACCCTACTACCAAAACCAGATAAAGACATTACAAGAAAGGAAAACTACAGACTAGTATCTCTTATGAACAGAGATGTAAAAATCCTCAACCAAACATTAGCAAATCAAATCCAACCAAGTATAACATGAACTACAAGTGGGATTTTTCCCAGGAATGCAAAGTCTGGTTCAATATTCAGAAGGAATAAAGTAATCCATCATAGCAACAGGATAAAGAAAAGTCTATATGATCAAAATAGTAGATGTGAAAGAATCATTTGAAAAAAAAAAATCCAACATCCATTTATGATAAAAAAAAAAAACACCCAACAACCTCGGAATAGAGATTTCTTCAACATGCAGTTTTAGCTCAAAATACCAGTTCCTCCTCCAGCCCCTCTCTGAGGCCAGCATTGAGGGATGCCACTTCTGCATATCAAAAAGAGCTGAGACCTTGGGCCACCGTCAATGTTGTAACTGCTCATCACCAAGTCTACTGGCCCTCTAGGGGGTTGAAGACCCTATAAAACAAGGGACTAAACCTGCTCTATTGGAAAGCTTTTCCCTGGTATCCTACATAGTCTCTGGCACACAGTGAGACCTCAACAAAGATAGCAGAACAAAACAGTCAAGCACCAGAAGTTAAAACTATGTAACTAAATGTTACCAGGGTCTGGTCAAGTTATATAACGACTCCTTTAAGACTGAAATCACACAAATACACACAACAATGCAATCATAACAGGAAATTTTCCTTGGAAATAACAGTTGTGTTCTGTTGAAATACTTCAGAATCTCCAAAAGAATAAAATTCAGATTGCTACCTTTTTTTCTCCTGCCCCATACAAATATGCAACTATTTGAAAAGGCAGGGGAAAAAAACATAGGCAGCTATTTAAAAGGTACTAAAATTTTTATATTCTTATCCTAGAAATCCAACACAATTGTGAAATAAGAACAAAATTTTCTTGAAGAAAGAGAACTACCAACCTTCTTTAAAATTAATAGTTAAATAAGTCTTTAAGCCACATCTTGTTGGCTTAAAATGAACTTAATCCAGATTATAAAAATACACACAATGTAACTGAATAAAATAAAATTTAAAGTAAGTAAAGGAGTTTCAAAAGGAAAAAACACCAGGATAGGAGATAAGATTTGGAAGAGATTCGAGCACAAACGACATGTTTCATGGGTCTATAAATGTGCAGAAACATGGATCCAAAATGTGGCTCTGTGCATACATCACCTTCACTAGATAATGTGGAAACTGATGTCCTTGTCTGGTGTCACATTAGATGGGATATTTCTATTCTTATATATAATATTTCCAAGGTCTTCAACAGGTACCATCTTTCTTCTTTATTTATTTTTTATTTTTTGGCCACACCACGCAGTATGTTGGATCTTAGGTCCCTGACCAGGGATTGAACCCGTGCCCCCGGCATTGAAAGCACAGAGTCTAAACCATTGGACTGCCAGGGAAGTCCCAATATCAACTCTCTTCTGATTTAACCTAAACCCTTTTTTTTGGAATCTCATATTCATTATTATTCAACTTCTCTATTTAGAAATTTTTCTTTTAAAAAAACCTTCAGTTATAGTACAGGATCATCATGGTTCTTTTCCAATGACAGCTCACAACCTACAGTATTCCCCTCAGAGTGGAGCTCAAAATCTTAAGGCGGCATGCCATACCTGCTGCAGACCCCAGCACCAAACCTGCCTCTTCTTAAGTCTATTTTACATCATATCAGCAAGTTGTCTGTATTTAAAACTTCGAGGCAATTTAGCAATCACTTTCTTTTTTTACCCAAAAGATAAGAACTGTGAAGACTGAGGGCTAGAATAAAATCAAGTTTTCCGTTCACCCAGCTCTAAATCATGTACCAACAGCGTCAACTGCAGGCAAAAGAGCATAACATCAAAGCACACAAAATGAATCTTTGCAAACAAATTCCTTTTGCTCTACCGAGATTTATGCACAGAAGCCGGAGCCTTCTCTCCTTCACCCTGCAGTAGAGGCTCCTGGAAGACGGGTAAGGAGATTGTTCCAGCTGTTTCAACTACACTCCTGATCCCATGAGATCTGCCTTCTGGAGGCGTCCTAGGTTTTCCTACTTGAAAACTAACATAATGGGTCAGTCAAAGGACACCTTGAGCCTATGCAGGAGAAAAGGTGGGGCGCGCGTCTAGTAAGAAACTGAGAACATACAAGAATCACATAATAAAACTAATTTTTAAAATACATTTTACAGCAATTACTGAAAAACATTTGGAATAGAGCACATACTATGCTATTTAAAATACTAGCAACATCCATTTATTTGCTACGCTGTTTTTATAAACCAGATATTAGTAACAGTATGCTTCCTAGCCTCTTAATTATGGACACATACTTTGAATAACAACTTGTGCTGAAAACTCAACAGCTAGTGTAACTAAGAATTTTTTATGCTTTAGTTTTATTCTTTTAATATTAAAAATAACAACCATCTCTGCCAATTCTTTTTGGTCCTTCACATGCTATGATAATTAAAGTTCTTCTTAATAATTTATTCACCTAACCTATATAACTACCAAAAGAACTAAGATCTTCACTATTTTATTTGAAACTCTGTCAACAAACAACCTTGTCAAACAGATACAGACTCATAGACTTTGAGAACAAAGTTACGGTTGCAGGGGGCAGGAGGATAAGGGAAAGGGATAGTTAAGGAGTTTGGGATGGACATGTACACACTGCTATATTTTAAATGGATAATCAACAACGTCCTACTGTGTAGCACAGGGAACTCTGTCAATATTATATGGCAGCGTGGCTGGAGGGGAGTTTGGGGGAGAATGGATACATGCATATATATGGCTGAGTCCCTTTGCTGTCCACCTGAAATTTCACTATCAAAACATTGCTAATCAGCTATTCTCCAACACAAACTAAAAAGTTTAATTAAAAAAATCTTGTCAGTAGGTAACATATTTCCATTTTAATAGGCAAGGAAACTGAGACAGTAGCCACAGTATAAATAAATAAACATACACATCCATTGTTTGGGGGGTATATTTGTTTACTGATTAAGAAGTGATGGTGCCATTTGAAATGTATTTTATTCCTTCTATCAAGAGATCAAATCAGTCTAAACAATCCATAACTATCCAACTTTCAAACATTTAATACAGGAGTATTTTCATGATTGCTTCACCAAGTCATAAACTTCATCAATTATTAGCCCAAGACCATTTCTAATACACCCCAAGAGAGCAACTAAACTACCTAAAATTATTTAGAATACAAAGATATCTTGGCAATAATACAAAAACTAAAAAAAAAAAAAAAAAATTAAAAAAAAACAACACACACAATAAAGCACTCTTCAGATGTAAAGCTAGGGAAATGCCACAGATCAGCATTTTAATTTCTTGAGAATTGCTACTGCCTACAGCACACAAAGATCAGTAAATTTGACAAAAAAAAAAAAACATGCAGTAAGAATTGTCCTGTCCTGTGAAACAATGGTGCTTCGTTTCCAAATACTATACATCAGTCAAAAAGCCTCTTATCACAACAGACAACCATAACAGATGGAGCTGAATTAAGTATAGGATCAGATACTGTTGAAGCATAAGTTTCTATCTCCTGCAGACTCTGTAAGACTTTAAATTCCTTTCAGCTTGAGTTAAATGGGAGAAAATGCAATTCATATTTCCAGAAGCAAGAGTGGCATATTTTCCAGTAAGTTCCTTGTTCTCGTTTTACTATTTTAAGACTTCTGATCACTCCCAGCACTGCTGTGTGGCAAGATCTGATTTCTGGTGGTTGATCATTTCCAGGGTATGACGCTTGGCGAAACCGGTCTCCAAACACTGTTTTTTATTCCTATTTAGCGTCAGTGTATTTATACACAAAATACCATGTCAGTGGCGCTGGGCCAAGAAGAGAAACAGCTTGCTAGAATTTCATTTGACTTTGTTAGAGGAAATTATTTTAAATTAATGTGGCTACTGAACAGCTGCCATCCTTAACCTCAGAAAATATATTCCTTCTAATTTTTGCTGCGAACATTTATTTATTTAAGTTAAACTCCAGCTCATGAATGTTGACCATGAGGAGTCTAAACCTTCTTGCGACTATTTCGCATTCTTTTTCTAAACAAGGGCAGGCGCAGGCTTGCTCCATTAGTATGCACAGCCAGGTCGCCACCATTAAGTGAAATCATCTATGTATTTTTGGTAGAATCTTTTTTAACAACTTCCATGCCTGTCAGTGAAATGGAACAAGGCTGTTTTGTTTTTGGAGGGCAATAATTTGATCTCTGGTTTACTGGATGGCGCTCAAAATATTTTTCCATATGTTTTTCAGCAAAGAAAAATCTGACATCAGCATGGTTTACCTTGACTAGTGAATGCAGGCTTTTTTCACCAAACACATCCCAGAGGAAGGTCAGGTCTTCCTGGCTGTCCACATGTGGCTGCAGCTGGGCTGGCAGAGCCACCAACAGCTCATACAGACCTATAAAATGAAAATAAAACACAAAGTGTAATCTCAGAGTGATCTCATTAATTTCGCTTAAGGTGTGTGTAATTGACGGCTGGAACATGTCGTTTTTACTGGATCTGTATTCTGAGCCATCAAGCAAAACTCTTCTCCAAAGAAACAAAGGAAGCTTTTGGATTTTTAAATTCTAAAGATGTATATATAGAAGGCCTGTTTTTACCTTCTGCGGGGGTCAACATTTTACAGTCCTCCAAGTTTACATAACCCGAAACAAAAAAATATGTACAAGCTTTCAAAAAAAAAAAAGAAGAAAACGCATACATTCCTTCCCTTAATCGTTATTACATTTCCCTCGATGTTAGCCAAAGAGTGAAGTGAGTCATGAATAGGAAAAACTTCTTTAGAAGAGCAGAAAATTGATAGCGTGGTCCATTAAAAAGGTTTTGTGGTTTCCAAACAGTTCCTAATAATATATAGCTTCAAAAACATTTGCATTATCGAATGTCCAAAGTCAAGTTCTAAAAAGTAAGCCAGAAGAAACCGTACTTGGTGTGGCATTCTTTGTAGTCACCCTCCTTTTAACAACAAACTGCAGCACTTCGCCTAAATGCAACTCTGATTTGAGGGTATGTGATGCCCTTGGGAATAGTCAAGGCAACAGATGCAGGTCACGCATGTTCTTGCTGGAAGCTCCCTCGAGCAGACAGTAGCACAGTGTCCCAGGCGCGGACTGTGCAGACCATCCATCGCATTCAGGGGCCGGCAGACTCCTGTCCAAGAAATGTTGCAAGAGTGCTTGCCCGGACTCTTCAGGGAGGTGACCTGGCAGAAGTCAGTATCAACTCAGAGCACATGTTTCATTTTCCAGCAGGATTACATGAGGTAAAAAGGACAAAATTCCTTTTATTTCTGTCTGCTGTCTACAAAAACACCAAGACCTCCTGGGATTTACTAGCGCATGGGACTGCTGTTATTTCTGGTCTGAATAAGTGCTGCTGTTCATCAGAGAGACAGCTTTACAAGATATTCCACTAGCAAAGACTTGTAAATTATGGCCTTCTGATCAGTGTAGCTGTTATCTTCCTAAAGCATTATAATATTCTGATAACGTGATTAACTCACAACCAAATGCATTCGGTACCACTTTGGAAGTGAGAAGTGTAACTTGAGATTCGATTAAATTAAAACATTCCTGGGGCTGTATTTGGCCACAAAGATCTAAAATACTCTAGGGAAAAGTAAATAAATAAAACATTCTCCCAATTACATTCTTAAGTATTGGTGGTTTATATTTGTTCCCATAAAAACCTGGCACCCTTCCCAAACTAGCACTTATTTACAATTCAGTAAAAATATTTTTTAAGGTATCTCAACCTAAGTCGATGTACAGGTCTCACCTTATAGAAATACATACACACACACACACACACACACACACACACACCCCAAGATCAGCGGTTAAGGTCAGAGGTTCAAACTATGAAATTATGTAAAGAAGGCAGAATTTCACTATTCTATTACCGATTTCAGGAGTAGTAAAAATGATTACCTATTCCTTAGTAATATGATTAGAGCTGAATGATACAAATTCAACTGTGATATAATTTATATGGTACAGTTCTTGGGGGATTAAATGAGTTCATACACTTTAACAGTCCTGGCACGTGGTAAATACTTGATATTTCATATGTAATGCAAGTTTCAGCCATTGTATTACTGATTACAACTGTTATCCATCATTATTATTACTAAAAAAGCAAAAATCTGGATCGAACAGTCCTAGATGCAAACCCCAGGTCTCCACTTTAAGCATTTCACATAACTTATATGAGCCTTGTTTCCCTCACGTGTTGAAAAAGAAATGATAATCTACACATGTGGTAAAACTGCATAGAATTACATAAATACACACGCACATAAGCACATGTAAAACCAGGGAAATCTGACAAAGGTCAGCTACTGGTGTGGATGATGTTCTCCCAGCTGTGACACACTACCACAGTCAGGAATGACATTACCCCAGCGGAACCGGTGAAAGTACACAGGATTTCTTTGTGTTAGTTCCTGCAACATGTGACTCTATAATTATCTCAAAATAAAGCTGAAACAAAAGAAAAAATGTGGTAAATACAGTTGCTGTAAGGATTCAGCGAACAATTCACAATTCGCAGGCACTGATTAAAAATAACACTATCCATCTTTCCTCAGTTTGTCTCCTAACAAGGAACATCTCAGTGAAACGCTTCTAAGTAGACTCCCAGCTTAGCGATAGGTGCCAACTGGACATAATACCATACTCAGAAATGAAACCACTCTGGGCTTCTATATATGGAAGTTGTTCACCTCACCTGCATACTCCTTAGCTTTTTGTGGGAATAATCCATGTTAGGCTCAATTTTTAAAATAATAATAACTTCTCTGCTCGTCGAAGCAGAGGAGCCTCTGTGCCTCTCTAGCTCTATGCAATCCTAACTGCATGGTCCACTAGACTGCAACAACACTCACTTCTCTTCACCTCCCCTATCTTCTGCGCTGTGCTGAGTCACTCCACCATGTCTGACTCCTTGCAACCCTATGGACTGTAGCCCAACAGGCACCTCTGTCCATGGGGATTCTCCAGGCAAGAACACTAGAGTGGGTTGCTATGCCCTCCTCCAGGGGATCTTCCCGACCCAGGGATCGAACCAGGGTCTCCTGCATTGCAGATGGATTCTTTACCAGCTGAGCTACCACGGAAGTCCCTGGTACCCATACCCTGTACCACAGACCAAAGCCAGAGAGACAGGACCATGCCAGTCAGAAATTCAAAAGATGGTAAAAAGAGCTGCTAGGTGCAAAGAACATTGCCAGCTGCATGCAGTGTTGATGTGGGCAACAAGGACGAGCACTTCCATTCAAATCAGTGACCCAGCCCCAGCAGACACCTCAAGTCCATGTCTAAAACTGGGCCTGTGTCCTTACATGTGCTTTAAAGGAGTCCTATTCTCAGTTCCTTGAGTCCCAATCAAGAAGAATACCATGAAATACAAATTGTTTTGGTCCTTGAAATTCAGAGAGCCAGAACAAGAGTTGAGAAAGCAATGTGTGTCTTTAAAACTTTTCCCTAAATCCACCTGTTCCCTGAACAAGCACTGGGGCCATGAAAGTCAACCCATGCTCCTCTGAGTCATCCAAGTTCATTTCCATAAACATCTAGGCACCCGTGAACCCAGAGCATCCCAGCTCTGAAGGTCTAAGACAAATTGGACGTGATTTCTGTCCACAGGCGTCTACAACAAAGTTATGTGCAGGACCAGGTTAGACTGCGGGGCAGAGGCAGGGGAAGTGGTCAGTTCCCCCATGGGGAGGAAGACAACATCAAGAAACCTTCTGGCAGGAAGAACACCTGAGTTGGGGCCATGAAGGCTCCATTCCCAAGAATCAGCATGTTATGAGCTCTCAGAGTCAGAGCCCCGGGCACAGAACTAAGTACATAATGTAATGCTATTTCTCCCCAGAGGTCTCACAACCTTGGATGACACAGAATACAGTCCATATATGAGCAAACATCTTTCAATCCTAAATATAATGATCTCCTATTTGCCCAAGTTAAGGTCTGAAACATTTTTTCTCCTAAGCAAAACAAATAAACATTCAGGCAGCTGATGACACAAACAAATGTCAATGATGTTACTAAGATGTTCATGATTGCCTCTAACATTTAAATTGCAATTTAGTTAGAAACACTTACTGTGAATTACCTATGAAGTAAAATATATTAATGTAGATAGTGTTTTTGCCCCATTTGCACATTTCACACCACCATTTGAATTCTTCAGAGTGAGATTCTTCCTCATCACAAGTGCCACCACTTGAGAATTAGAATAGATTGTTTTCACTTCCAGGTCATCTGACATGCAGCACTGTTTTGAATATATGAGATGCCATCACTGAGAATCTGGGTAAAGCTGATTGGGTTTTCATCAACAAACCTACTTACCTACTCTTTAAAATTCTACCAATTGCAAATGTGAGGTTTTTAACCCTTCTCCAAGGAATAATTAAATCTAATCTAAACCTTGTCTCCTTAAAAAAAAAAAAAATCTGTCAAAGGAACTCTCGATAATTCCTAAAATTATGAATTTCGTTATATGTGAATACTTTCACTTTCCCCATTCCACACACTTTTGTGCACATGAATAAAGAGAAAAAGTTCTCTGTAAGAGATTTTGTACAGACCTGACTATAAGCCAGCTCTCTCTTCTCTAAGAGATCATTTCATGGAGGGAAAAAACTCACCTTGTATTTGGGCATATACAAGACACTGTCGAGGATATCTGTGAAGGGTTTCAATAAACTTATTTCACAAAAATGTTCCAACATAAAAAAGATACTTTAAAATTAGTGCATTTTATATGCTGAGAAAAAGGAATCAATAAGAGCAAAACTAAAATAGGTTGAGGGTCACCTGATTAATATATGTATAATAATTATTACAGCAATTTTAAGCAGAGAGCCATCAGTGGGGTCAGAATGAAGCCAGCAGACCATGCGCTGGGACCTGAAAGGAAGAAAAGCCTAGGAGGGTGAGTCTAAATGAGGGGGTAAGGAAGGTGTTCACAGTAATAGGAGCCAATTGCAGACAGACACAAAGATGCTTCTAAGATCTCTGAGTTGGTACTGAAACCTGCTATCTATGAACTCAGTAGTAACCTCTTCTCCCCTTTCCAGAAGAAGGGGAGATGCCAAATGCTGGCCATCTGATGTCATGAAGAATAACATCCTACGGAGAACGCTTTCCGTACAGTATAAACTGCCCATTCCACCAGGCAGTTCATAAGCCAGCACACATGTGGACCACCACGTTACTGACTTAGGTACCTGATTGGAGCTACATGTGCTGACTTCTCTGAGCTTTGCTGCACTGCAGGGTGAAATACTTGTTATTTTCTTTAAAGATGAATTAAAAAAAAAAAAAACTGTCATCCCTTGGTATCCAGGGGACCCACAGAAGATCAAGCACCACAGCTGCCCTTTACATCTGCCGTCCACAAGAGCAGATTCAACCTCATGCTGACTGCACAGTACTGTATTTCTTGAAAAACTTTGCATGTAAGTGGACCTGCACGGTTCAGGTCCATGTTGTTCAAGGGTCAACTGTACAAGCTTGTTCTCTCTCAACTATCTACGCTCAGAGTATGATCTTGATGCTTTCTGAAGCCTGGTAAAACAAATGACAGAGGGTCAGTAGTAGTGTTTTTGTGGCCCCATGGACTGTAGCCTGTTGTGCTCCTCTGCCCATCGAATTTTCCAGGCAACAATACTGCAGTGGGTGTCATTTCCTACTCCAGGGCATCTTCCCAACCCAGAGATCAAACCCATGTCACTTCCATTTTCTGCATCAGCAGGCAGATTCTTTGCCACTAGCACCATCTGGAAAGGCCCACTATTTTACATACAGATATAAAAACTTTGGATTCTTAACCACTGGTTTCTCAGGTGGCACAGTAGTAAAGAATCTGCCTGCCAATGCAGGAGACACAAGAGACATGAGTCCGATCCCTGGGTCAGGAAGATGCCCCAGAGGAGCAAATGGCAATCCACTCCAGCATTGTTGATTGGAAAACACCATGGATAGAGGGGCCTGGTAGGTTACAGTCCATGGAGTCGCAAAGAGTTGGATAGAACTGAGCACTCATGCATAAATACTTTGGTGATTTATCAACTTCAAGTGAGTTGTCTTTCAATCTTTTTTTTGCAATATTTAGAAAAGAATAGTACTGTAAAGCTTCTATCAGGATCTTGTATGTAAGTCAGAAGCAGAAGATTTGATCAAGGATTGTGGAAGGCAGATAAAACTGACCCAATCATGCTGAATAAACAATTCACTGGAAGTCATAATACATTACCCAGAAGAAAATTATAAAGTGTCATCCTTACATTAAAATTTCATTACTTTGTAAGGTTTACCAATTACTAAAATATATGAGAGTAATTCTAACTGTGCATAAAGTTTGCTATAATCATAGTCAGACCCCGAGTGATTCTCACCCTGCCTAAAACTGTGCTATGCTGTGCTTGGCCATGTCTGACTCTTTGCAACCCTGTGGACCGTAGCCCACCAGGCTCCTCTGTTCATGGGGATTCTCCAGGCAAGAACACTAGAGTGGGTTGCTTCATGGGGATTCTCCAGGCAAGAATACTGGAGTGGGTTGCCATGCCCTCCTCCAGAGGATCTTCCCACGCAGGGATTGAACCCAGGTCTCCTACATTGCAGGCCAATTCTTTACCAGCTGAGCCACCTGGGAAGCCCACCTAATAAAATTAGCTGCTAAAAATTACATCTATTTCTTTTGTCTCCCCCCTCCTTAATCTATCCTTCCTACCACCAATCCCTAAAGCTTCCCAAAATAATACTTAGTAAAAAGTATTACCAGAAGCAGTTCCTAGTGGTATTAACCATACCTAATACGGTGGTATGAGCTATGGCAAAGTGCTTTACAGGTCACCTCACTTAATGCTCTCCATCAGCAGGTCCTATTCCTGTCTCCATTTTAGAGGAGGACGTACACTTAGCCAGTAAGTGGCAGTCAGGACTTAAACTATGTCTCCCAGAATAACCCATCACGTAAACCTTCTACTCAAAAACCTTCAAGAGATCCCTCAAAAGAAAAGTTAAATGTCTAACTGGACACCCAAATTACAAATGGATCAAATATTTCAAATATAAGCTAGAGGACAATCTCAAAGAGTATTTTTATCATCTTGGAGTTAAATGTTTGTCTTAGAAAATAAAGAACCTAGAAATCACAAAAAAATTACAGTAGAATTTGTGACAAAATTTTCATGCATCAAAAAAACCAAGGAAGGTTACAGAGAAACGGCCAAAAATTATCTCCAACAAGCAGGTGATTGATATTAAGAATAATAAAAGGTGAGTAAAAGAAAGTAAAAGAAAAAATGGGCAACAGCACATGAGCAGTCAAATGGTGGCAGAAGAAATAGATGCCCCCCCCAAAATCAGCATATAAAGTAATGTTCAATCTAAGAAATAATATAAAAGGATTCTTATAAGTCAAAGCAGGATTTCACTGGTAGTCCATTGGTTAAGAATCCACCTGCCAACGCAGGGGACACGGGTTCAATCCCTGGTCTGGGAGGTTTCCACACGTCGTGGAGTAACTAAGCCAATGTCTCAACTACTGAAGCTTGTGTACCTAAAGCCTGCGCTGTGCAATGAGAGAAGCCACGTGCAGGGAGAAGCCCCCACTCGCTGCAACTAGAGAAAAGCCTGCACGCAGAAACCAAGACCCAGTACAGCCAATGAACAAATGTTTTTAAGTTAAAGCATATCATTTTTCTTTTATCAATTTAGGAGATAATTAAGTTCACAAATATCCATTCTTAGGGCATGAGAGTGGCTTCCCTGGGGGCTCAGACAGTCAAGAATCCACCTGCAATGCTGCAGACCTGGATTCCATCACTGGATTGGGAAGATCTCCTGGAGGAGGGCATGGCAACCCACCCCAGTGTTCTTGCCTGGAGAATCCCATGAACAGAGGTGCCTAGTGGACTACGGTCCATGGGGTCAGAGAGTCGGATACGACTGAGTGACTAAGAACAGGGCATGAGCAGACGCCCAGCAGTCACTTGGTGGGATGTACACTCGTTCATTCAATCAGCATCCACTGACCACTGTATATTCTCTGTGCTAGATGCTATTCAAGGTGTCTGGGTAGACCAGCAAAGAGCCCTAGATAACATTTTGTGTGTGTGACAGTGACTCAGTTGTGTCCAACTCTTTGTGACCCCATGAACTGTAGCACCCCAGGCTCCTCTGTCCATGGAATTCTCCAGGCAAGGATACTGGAGAGGGTTGCCATTTCCCACTCCAGGAGAACTTCCCAACCCAGGGATCGAACTGGCATCTCTTGAGTCTCCTGCACTGGCAGGCGGATTCTTGACCACTGCGCCACCTGGGAAGCCCAGATAACATTCTAGGGGAAAGACAAATAATAAACAAAAGTAAATTATACAGTATGTAAGAAGGGGACAGATATTGATAGAAAGAGAGAAACCTGAGCTGCATATGCAGATTCAGGGCCGGGCCGTTGGCACAGACGGTGACAAAGGAGGTGGCCAGGGAACACCCTCTGGTGGTCAGAGACAGGAAGAAGATGACAGAGTTGGTGGGCATCTAAGGGACAAGCACTCAGGGAGAGGGACCAGACGACACAGAAAACCCAGCCTCTAAGCCTGGAGCATCTGAGGAGAGCAAGGCGCCCAGTGTGACAGGCAGAGGGAGAGAAGGGGGAGAGAGCTGATGTCAGAGAGGAAGCAGAACCAGGTCACGTGGGGCCTTGTAGGACAGACACTGAAAAGACCTTAACTTTTACTTCATAGAGACACTGCCATTGCCGGGTTTTTGAGCAAAGGAGTAACATGATTTGAGTGACATTTTAAGAGCACTGCTCCAGCTGCTGCATTGAGAAGAGGGGGCAGGGGAGCGAGCACAGAGGCCGAGAACGAGTCAGAGGTCAGAGAGCGGCCCAGACGAAAGCGGACCGGCACCCAGGCAGTAGCCAGAGGGAGGTACAAGGAGCATTGAGATTCTGGACAGATTCTGAGGGAAGAGCCAACGGTGAATTTCTGTCTGACTGAAGGCGGGTCATGAGGAGAAAAAAAGAAACAAACGGGATCGCCAACACTGAAGCTGCTGCCAAGTGAGATGAGCAGCTCAGTTTCAGACCCAATGAGCTGAAGACGTGGACTGGACGTCCTGGGGGAGACGCAGTGGGCGGCTGCAGGGAGAGGCCTGAGCTGAAGACATACGCGTAGGAGCCCTGGGCAGGGGGTTGGTATTTAAACTCCAGGGCCTGGATGAGACCCCGAGGGTGTGAGTTGGACACAGAAGAACGAGGAGCCAAGGACTGAGCCCCGGGGTCTCCACTGTCTGACCTCAGAGCTTCACAGACAGGTTTAAGAGAACGCACTTGACATGAGGAGGAGGAACACAGACATGTGCTGTTCTGGTTTGGCCCCGTGTGGGGGGAAGGGTGACCGACCTGAGGCAGGAAGAGGCCACAGTCAGGGCAGGGAGAACAAGGCCCGAGAACTGCCCATGAGGTCCAGCCGCGTGGGCTGGTAATGACTGAGGAGCATTAACAATAACAGGTGACATAGTGCAAAGAGCGAATACGAGCTACTCTTAGGAGGAGGGCTGGTACAAAAGAGAATCAGTGTCTGCTAAGGGTGGGGAGATAAAGAAGATTTTTTAAGATAAAAAAAAAAATAGACCATATGTGCACTAAGGGCTTTGATCTACTACAAGGGAAATGCTGATGACAGGGACACTGCTGGTGGCCCCTCTCAAGAGGTGAGAGGAGCAGGGTCAGTGCACATGTGGGCAGGGTACCCAGGGCTCCCAGGAGGGGGGCAGATATTGGGGCAGGGTGGAGTGGGCGGGGGGGGNGGAATGACTCCCTCAGGATGGATCGTGGCAGTCTTTTCAGTAAACTATGAAACACAGATGCCCATGGGGAGTGAGGACACAGAATCAAAAGTCTGCACGAGAAAGAACAGGTTGGAAAGAGTCACCTCGGAGAATGGAAAGATGAATAAAGCAAGGAAATCATAAATTGGTAGTTCACTGGCAATATGAGGATTTTAAGCCTACGTGCATTCCCTCTGATCTGGCTCGTTCATTCCCTCATTCATCCCACTTCCAGGGAGCCTAAATCTATATCCAACTCTACCAGCATTTAATCCAGGAAGAGAAACTAAAAGGAACAGGAAATAATTACTTTCATTTTACTATACGTGTGTATATTTCATATTTGCTGTGCATATATGTATACACACACATATTTTTGCATTGTTTGATTTTTTGACAAAATAGACATTATTTTTACAATTTTAAAAGTTTCATGCCTCACCCCCCAATTCTGTTCCAGCCACAGTGGACGGCTACTGGCTATCCCCTGAAAGTGTAACTGTTTCCAGATATCTTACACCAACTCACTAAATAATTAACTTCCTGGAGATGGCGACTGCTGTCATAGTCCCCTCCCGCAGGACCCGAGATTATCTGGAAGACAAAACAAGCATGGTAACTGTCTGACCTCAGAATTTCAGGAACAGGCTTAACATAACAAATGGACAACGTCTTGAATGTGTGAAGGGAGCTGCAAATTCCTAAATCCCTCTGTATTTCAGAATTCCTCCAGGTCCTTTCCAGCCTTCATTCTGCAAATACGGAGTGCTCACCATGGACCAGAGTGTTTAGGGTTGGGGATACAGGGGGAGGGAGAGAAAGGGAAGAAAAGACAGTCAAGCCGCAGTGGGCATCAAACATTGTGAATACACACGTGAAGCTGTTACTGTGAACTGCTACAAGGGAGGGGTTGCAGACCACGACAGTGCAAGAGTGGGATGTGAACAAGCTCAGGAAACGAAGCTTGTGCTGAGATGGTCAAAGAATAGACATCAACTGGGGATGATGAAGTAGGAGGCAGAAAAACCCTATAGGGAAAAGAAAAGCACAAAGGCCCTGGGGTAGATGCTTAGACTCTGCAGCCAAGTAACATAAATACAAGTCCCAACACTGCAGCTGTTAATTGGTTCACATCTCTGTGCCTCCAGTTTTTAAACTGTAAAGGTACAGTTATACTAGACTGACTAGGGTCATAATAATGATTAAATGAGCTATTCGTAAAGCTCAGAATGATGCCTCATTTCCCTGTATAGCCTCATAAGCATGTTTAAAATAAATTCCAAATTAAATGTTAAAATGTATGTATATGCCAAGGCATCACAGAGACAGAGGAGAAAATGTGAGTTTATACTGCTGGATAGCTTTCCACAACAGGCAATAAAGACAGGCAGTGATGGACCCCACATACTGGGTGAAGTGTGAACTAGAGAGAAGAGAAATGAAAAAAGAGATCTGATCTCCGACTTGGGTCACTCTAGACACTTATACCGTAAGGAAAGTGAAGAAGAAAAATGCCAAACAGTCCCAGCTTTAAAATAGCTTAAAACTTTCACAATAAGCATCATGCAACAATCACTTGCAAGAAGTGGCAATAACTATAATTTTGATTATATCAATGTCATGTAATCATTGACAAAGTTCTCATGACAATGGCTTACGTATGTATGTCAACTTACAGGCTTAATTCAAAATCCAGATTGAAGCTCCTGGGAGCCCATCATTCATCATTCACCCTAAACAGGTTGAATAATTGGAGTCATCTTAACACGCTTCATGTGATTACAGAAGAATACTAATAATCCCTTCACTGAGATAATTATATATACTCCTTGCTTTGTCCACCCTGCCAAGGTCAGACATAACAAGCAAACATTCTGGAGATGAAGAGCCGCACCATGCCGGAGCAGCCTCACAAAAATAAATGACTCAGAGCAGACCTGACAACAGATGTTCATTCAAATTATTCAGTCACTCTGGATCTTGGGGTTGTTGCCTCTAGAGAGGACAGTGGAAAATGGCTCATCAGATACTGGATCAGCTTTGTCATAAAATCACTCATATCTTCCTCCTCTTGGCGAAACTAAGCCTCAGGGAACCCGGCTGCATGCAGAGATAGAGGCAAAACCAGCCAGCAGCATAATCCATCTCAAGAGGTAGTAGTTGGTCTTTTTTTAAAAAAACAGATCTTGTCTTTGAGCCTTTTAACAATGGGTCTCTCAGCAATTTTCCCATGAGTTCTTGATATAATTAACATTTTCATAAGAAAAAAGCCAAGAATATAGCAGAAACGAATACAACATTATGAAGCAATTATACTCCAATCAAAAAAAAAAGAAAAAAAAAGCCAAGAATTCCTCTTTTAGGATTCCTGTTTACAGTTTAAGTGCTGAAACAACTCATTCCAAAATGACACAGTTCTATCAAAATACAAAAGATTCTGGAATTTGAAACTTAACACAGACATCCTTCACACAGAGTACAGCATCTTCAGAAGTCAAAAAAACTGCATCAGTCGAGAACTTATACAAAAAAGTCACAGAGACTTCACCATTTGGTACAAACCACTTCACAAAACTGATCTTTCTTGTGAAAATTTTCTTCTGAATCATTAAAATAGGGTGGTGGATGGGGAACAGGAATAGTGGATAAAAAAAGAAATCAAGCAACATGTTTATTTCCTGCACAGATGAGAAAAAGGCTTAACGCTTTGTAACAGAGGAAAGTGACCAGAGTTATCACGTTTGTTAACCAACAGAGAAGTGTCTTTTATCAAGGAGACTGTGAAGTGTTAGATGCACCATCTGGACCACATCAAAAGTAATCCAAGGGCAAAGCAAAAAACAGAAGCCCCTAACCTACCCTAGTGCGGGGGGTTCAGAAAGTCTGAAGAGAAGAGGGCAAAGGGCAGGGGGCTATGATTTTACTACTCATTAGAGGGAAGATGGTTCATGGCTGCTGTTGCAGACTTGACGTCTGAATGAAAATAACAAATCCTACCCCACCTTCAAGTCCCTCGGGGGCCAGATCAAAGTGATGAGTAGATAACCATTCAAAGCAGCAACAAGGACTAACTTCACAGCAGTGGTGACGGGATGTCCACAATCTGATGGCAAAGTGGCCGCGGGTCCCCTGAGGCAGTGATGGACGGGAGCATTGCCAGGCAGCAGGAGGGGTGGGCAGAATATTGAGCATCGTGATTTAGTGGAGGAAGAAGGAATCTTCAGAGTCAAGTACAGATAGGACACTAAGACTATTATTTACCCACCCAGAAACCCATGCTCCCAGACACTTGAGTAACAGAACGGTGTGTCGCAGCAAGGACCCCACCGACCTCGTGTTCCATCTAAGCTGATGATGGACAGCAGGTGAGGCAGATGCCCACAGACTAAACACCGCTAAACTGCAAAGCAGAAGAATATCTTATCTAAGTGAACAAACTACTGAGCTGTATACCTACAGTAGGTATCCACAATGCATGAAGACACTAGTAAGACTTAATAGGAAGCAGTCCAATCAAAGATGCTGGCTGGCTCAGGTCTTAGGCAATGACACCTAACTGCCCTGCTGTAACAACCAAGCCCAGCTTCAGCAATGCTACATCCAAACACAAGGACAATAAAGTATCAAGACTCAGGAGAGTCTCATTCAGAGTCATAAACTTACTAAACAGGGTAAAAGGTTTTACTGACTTTAAACATATACTTACATACATATACACACACACACACACACACACACACGAATTTAAAAAAGAAAACAGAAGGAGAAATTTCTACCAACTTAAACTTATTGTAAACGCCCAGCATGATCCAGGGCTAATCAGAAACTTGACTCCCAATTTGAGAAAGGTTTTCACCAAAACTTAACAGAGAATTTCGCACATTCCTTCCTTCCCTCTCCAGAGCAAACATTTTAAGAATTACATCTATGCCATAATATAGGTAGAAAGTATCACAATACATATTGTAGATATTCTGAAAATTGAAGAAAATAGATGACAAAGTATAGATCATAGATTTACCTATATAAACCAGAAATAAATCTTTGTTTAAGACAGTTTATTTTCTATTGCTTTTTCAAAACTATATTTGGACAAATATAAGTGATTAATTAATGTAAATATAAAAATAAATTAATAATATAAATTAAATCAATGGAAATTAATGACAAGATGTGACACTAATTCTCAAAATAACATCTCAAAAATACAGAATACATGAAGAAGTGAAGATATTTCCCCAGTTCCAGAAAAGTGCCTCTGTAAAAATATAATATTCTGTACAGGACAGTAGTTCCTAAGAGAATAAATGGCTCAGAATTTGATGACAGTCTTCCCGCCGTGAACAATTCGCTCTTCTCACAGATTCCAGATGCTCAAGATTCCTGCCATCAGGATGGAAAAATTTACTGTGAGTCTAGAGAAATTTAAAACCACCATTCTTGTCATTTCCCTCATAGCTTCATTATTAGAACAAGTCTGGGGAAGCTATTAACCTACGTTAAATGATAAAAAAGATGTTCTCTGTGTCCAATCATATTAGATGCCATACACAACCAAAATATTTAGAAATCATATAGAAAAAGACTTGGGGAAGAGAAAGATAGAGATTCAATTTTTTTCCCTTCATTTTAATATTTGCATTCTGTACAGAATAGCCAGGCATAGAACTAAAACGTTTTACTATAACCATGGGCTAATAAACACTAAAGAACATATATCGACGCCCAGAACAACACTATAAAACTTTATTATATTAATAAAATGGGATACACCAAGCTTTAAATTTTCCACTTTGTCAAAGGTAAAATAATCAGCACTGTTCGGTGCCATTCATAACAGGCCTCAATTTTTCTCATTTAAACTAGGTTTTATTTCCAAAAGTACCTATACTACTAAAATATTTTAATTCAACCCTGAACAGAGGCATTCTCTTTTTCACACACTCTCTGCCTCTCAACTGCAAATAATTTATTAAAGCATTCAGCAGGCTGGGTTTTTAACTATGCAAAGTATTAATACTTTAAATAATTATAAAGTGGCAGATTGCTTAGTAACAGCTTATAGGATTACAAGCCTACCTCAGAGACACTACACTTCGATTCCAGACCACCATAAGACAGCAAATATCGCTATTAAGTGAGTCACACAGATTTTTTGGTTTCACAGTGCATATAAGAATTATGATTCACTATACTGTGGGACACGACTGAGCGACTGAACTGAAGTGAACTGATACTGTGGCCTATTAAGTGTACAACAGCATTATGTCCAAAAGCCCAATGTGCATGCCTTAATTGACAAATACTTTATTGTTAAAAAATGCTAACCATCATCTGACAATGCAAGGTTGCCACAAACCTTTAATTTGTAAAATCAGTATCTAAGAAGTGCAATAAAACAAGGTATCCTGTACCAGAAAGTCTATCAATCAGGGTGAATTAGCAGAGGTAAGTGCACACACTTGTACATAACTTCCATTTTTACACATCGTCTCTAAGATCGGGTCGAGTCCAATTTGTAACTAACTATGCACTGGCAGCCCATGGTCTTGTACCAGTTCCTCCACCCTGGCCAATGTGACAGAACTTTGATTCCAAAAAGTGAAGATGAAGCCACAGCACAAGGAAAATTATTTGTAAAACTCTTATAAAGTACAGCCTAAAGCTGTTTTCTAGAAAACTGGATGCATTTATACTGTATTTAACCAGTTACAGGGCCTCCTGGCCTAGAACTGTTGGCCATAAAAGCTAAAGCACTGTATTGTAGTTAATAGTACAATAGGATTTATTTCCATTTATTTCACTATTTGTAATATATTTAAAATTTAGCAATAACATGTAGTGAGATCAAGTCAAACAGCATATCTGGATTTTAACTTACACTGCAGGACAGCAACCTAATCTTAACTCTAATCTTACTCCTGTAGCTTCAGTGTATTAAAAGGTAAATAATGAACAGACCAGAAGGTACCAGCGTTCATCAGGAAAAGAAACGAGTAAGCAGAAGGTTGTTCACTGATTGCACAGAAAGAAAGGTAAGCATTTCTCCCAGGACAACTGCAAGAATCGCAGAGATAAAGAAAGAGCTCAGCACCTAACTTACACCTCCCTGTCTACAGTGGAATGAAAGAAAGAAATACACCTGGACCACCCCTAGTAGCTAAACAGGTAACTGCCACCAACCTTTTTATCATTTCCTCTCGGCAGTTTGTTAGCTGAATTAATAAGCAATTAAGTGAAAGAAAAGCCCCAAACCGAGTTCAAGAGACAGAATCATCTTCAATGGCTTTCTTTTCAAGGATTCTTCTGCAAAACCCTTCACAACATCCCCAAGAACAATCTGCTTCACAATCATGTAATAGCTGTACTTCAAAAAAAACCTAGGTTAGCAAAAACATTTAAAAACTCTCTTTCCATGGGGAAAAGACGTGGTAGGTTAGACAGTTTCTAAATGAGGACAAAGCACTTCCAAAAATGAATTTTAGTAGTAAATGGAATGATCTATAGTGTAACTACATTTTATTTTAAGCTGAAAATAAACTGGTGGTTTGAAACTGATAACCACTGACCTAAACGCTTCCCGCCCTTCCAGTCTACACAAATTTCTTTAAACTGGTTGAAATTTTGTCTGCAACAGAAATCATATTCTCCAGGGGTAAACCCCACCCTCAAAACTCCAAGAGGGGCCAGTTAAAGCTGCTGAAATGTAAGAGAACATCCGGAAAGAGACCTAGTGCACATAAAGAATTGAGTATAAGATAAAGATAGCCTTGCAAACCAGGTGAGTAGTGAGAAATCATTCTGAGTGCTACATCACTGAATTACCTTTCCAGGAAAAAAATGAAATCAAATACTACACTAGATCCCTATATAATGAAGGCAATCCTAAATAACATCTTTGCATTAAAACTATGTCATAAAAAGTCAGTCTAAGAAATATCGGCTATCACAAAAATCCTTTCACGATATTTACAAGAGTGGTTTTTCCCCCACAGTCCTCACTTGTCAAAAAGCAGCTAAATATATAGCCTTGAACTAGTCTATCCTGTATCTTAAAACATGTTCACCTATACTTATTGAACAGTATTTAAAATTTTAGGAGGTTCAAGTATACTATATCAGAAAGAGAAGTTTAACATATAATGTGGGTTTGGGCAAATAAAATGTTTTTAAAATTGTACTGATTTCAATAGCCTTATAATTACTGTTCAATCACATCTTAACAGCATAAAACCATCTTCCTGGTTTTGTTACCAAGGTGGTTGTCCCAGAATCATACTCCTGCTCCTCCTAGAAGGGACACCAATTGCTCTTATCTAAGCTTCAGGAGGAAGCCGTAAACAGAAAAACAAGAACTGGTTGGAACCAGCTAAACCCAAAATGGTGGAAGATTTGCCTTCCAGTGACCTCGGGCCTCATGCCACAGTTACTATAATGCTTTAGCTAAATGAGACACCCATCAGCCCAGACAGTTGACAGGTGCCATGACAATAACCAGAAAAGCCAGTACAAGCATTGAAAAGGAGTCCAAACCACACCCTGTTCTCGAGTAATTCATGAACATTCCTCCCTCTCTTCCCAAGTCCCTCCCTTTTACCTCGAGCCCCTGCCCCCATAGATGTGGTGTCTTAATTTCATTTGGCTTGAGAAACTGATATTCAAACTAGGTTCCCATTTCTCCATCCTCTGACCATTTAATAGCTTTATTAGCAGTATCAGCTTTGGTATCAGTATTGGTTTCATTATTGGCTGCACGAATCCAATCAGGAAAAGAGCTTCCCTGGCTAGGACAGGGGGTTAACCAATTTGGTGACAGTTTGGTTTTGTAACTGCTCACTGTGTGTCCCTCAAGTTTTCTTCTAAAAGGAAAAACCAGTCACATCTCTTGCATGCCAAGTTCCCAGGGAAATATAAACCCACCAAATAAAGTTCCAACTGCCAAAGAGAAAAGAATATTTTATAATGAACCATTTCATGCAACAGGGATTTAAAATCTACCAAGGTCACTCAAACTGCCAATAACCCCCTAATTTTAGGAGGTTCAAGTATACTATATCAGAAAGAGAAGTTTAACATATAATGTGAGTTTGGGCAAAAAAAATGTTTTTAAAATTGTACTGATTTCAATAGCCTTATAATTACTGTTCAATCACATCTTAACAGCATAAAACCATCTTCCTGGTTTTGTTACC